TGATAGATATCTAGACATTTAGATATTAAAAACATAAAGACATATTGGAATAATTCAGGAAGATGGTGTTGAAGTAAAAGATCAGCCATGATCTGATTGACTGGCAGAGTGGGCTTAAAGAGCCGAATAACCCATTCCCAGTCTTATTTGCGTTTTTATGATCTTACCGTCTTACATTTTCCAAACTTGTTTTGATAGACTAAAGATTGCCCCTTTCTCTTTGCTTTTTTTTAAAATGGGGAAGCCAACACCACCGAAATATACCGAACATAATAATTAACAAAGAAAAATCAATCTTTGGAGTACAGGGAGGGTTTCAAATGCTAAGAAACCTTCCTCTTATATACAATTGGCATTCTAGCCTGGTATTTAAATTCTCCAAACCCTGGACTTCACTATAAATATCAGCTATTAACTTTCATTGACAAAAGATGTTCAATCAGTAGTTCATCTTTATCAGAAATTAATACAATATTTACAGTTTTACTTGATACAAAAATTATTCTTCAAGTTGGTCAAAATAACAACTGAATTATATATTTTGCATTTAGAGCCTGCAGAGGAACATTTAAATCTTAATGGTGGAGATCAAAATCAATGTCGAACACGGGAGCAGGAGTAGGCTATTCAGTGGCCTATGGAGGGTTTCCTACATCGCAGGACCACAGTAGTTTAAGAATGAAACGCAGCACCAACCTTAAGGTTGGGGCTGGGAATTCTGTGATAACTCACTTCCTAACTTCCAAAAGCCTTCCAACCATCGGCAAGGCACAAGTCAGGAGCATGATGGAATTCTCATCATTTGGCCTGCACAAGCATAGCTTGAGAAACACTCAAGAAATTCAAAACCACTCAAATCAAAGCAGCCCACTTGATCAATACCCATCCATCTCCTTAAGCATTATTTCCCTTCATCAAAGTACAGCAACAGTAATGCATTGGACCCAGAAGATGTACTGCATGATTCATCAATGCTTTTTAGACAGCATCTTCCTAACCCAAGGTCTCCACTGTCTATAGAACTAGGGCAGCAGAAAACAACAAATGGACCAACATCCCCTATAGGCCTACTACCAAGCCATATACCATCCTGACTTGGAACAAAGGCACTATTCCTTTATCACAGAGTTAAACTTCTTAAACTTCTTTCCTAACAATACCACGGGTATACCTACACCAGATAGATTGCAACCAAGGTGGTCACTCACCATCACATTAAAGGTTAATTAAGGATGGACAACAATTGCTGGCCTTGCCAGTGATATCCATATCCCACAAGGATAGCAAGGGTAGGAAGAAGCACACAAAGGGGAGGATGAGACAACCACGCTGACGAAGGATGTCAGGGACGGCGTAAAAGCAAAAGAAAAAGCATACAATGAGGTGAAGATTCATGGGAAGCCTTTAAAAAACAAGCTAGAGGACAAATGAAAAAGCAGTAAGAGGTGAGAAGATGACACATGAGCATAAGCTAGCTAGTAACACAGAAGATCAATGGAAGAGTTTCTTTTAAAGATATCTAAAAGAAAAGATAGAAGCAAGAGTGGACTTTGGACCTCTGGAAAATTAGGCTGGAGAAGTAGTAATGGGGGACAAAGAAATGGCACAGCTGCTGGACAACTGAAAAAGTCTAAAGGTGGATAAATCATCTGGCCCAGATGGACTACACACCAGAGTTCTGAAGGAGCTAAGGAGACTGTAGATGCATTGGTGGTGAGCTTTCATGAATCACTGGGGCCACGGAAGGTCCCAGAGGTAGGTGCAGCACAGTGGCTCAGTGGTTAGCATTGCTGCTTCCTCGGGCCCAATTACAACTGCCTGTGCGGAGATTGCACATTCTCCCAGTGCCTGCATGGGTTTCCTCCAGGTGCTTCCATTGCCTCCCACAGTCCAAAGATGTGTAGGTTAGGGGATTGGCCACGGAAAATGCAGGGTTACATATAGGGTGGAGGAGCAGTGGTGGGTCTGGGAGAATGTTATTCGGAAAGGCAGTGTGAACTCAACGGGCTGAATGATCTGCTTCTGCACCACAGGTATTATGAAAATGGCTGATGTAACACGTGTTTAAGGAGGGAGGTAAAAGACAGGAAACTGTCAGCCGATTAACCGGACCTTGATCATTGGTAAGATGTTAGAGTCCGCTTTAAGGATGAGACTGCAGAGTACTTGGAAGTGCATGGTAAAATAGGGCTGCATCAGCACGGTTTCATCAAGGGATGGTCTGAAAGATCTGTTAGAATTCTTTGAGGAGGTAATGAGCAAGTTAGACAAAGCAGAGCAAGTGGATGTGATCTATTTCGATTTCCATTGAGCCTTTGAGAAGATACCACACAGGGGGCTGCTAAACAAGATAAGAGCCCATGGTGTTGAGGCCAAGGTACTGGCATAGATAGAGGATTGGCTGACTGGACAGAAGGGGTCTTTTTTAGGATTGCAGCTGGCGACGAGTGAAGTTCCACAGCAGTCTGTGTTGGCATCATAATTATTCACATTATACATTAAAGATCTGGATGAAGGAACTGAGGGCATTGTTGCTAAGTTTGTGGATGACAACAAAGAGAGATAGACGGACAGGTAGTGTCAAGAAAGCACAGTGGCTGCAAAAGGACTCGGACAGGCTAGGAGAGTGGACAAAGAAATGGCAAATGGAATCCAATGTATGGAAGTGGGAGGTTATGCACTTTGGTTGGAAGAATAGAGGCATAGACTATTTTCTGAACAGGGTGAGACTTCAGAAATCTGAAGTACAAAGGGGTTTGTGGGGGGCCCTATTCAAGATTCTCTTAAGTTTAACATGCAGGTTCAGCTAGTGTTTAGGAAGGCAAATGCATGTTAGCATTCATTTCAAAATGGCTAAAATACAAGACCAGAGTTGTACTGCTGAGATTGTATAAAGCCCTGGTGAGACCACATTTATAATATTGAGCAGTTTTGAGCTCCATAATTAAGGATGTGCTAGCAATGGAGGGAGTCCAAAGGAAGTTGGCAAGACTTGTCACATGAGTTGAGGACTCGGTCTGTACTTGACAGAGTTTATAACGACAAGGGGGGACCTGATTAGAGTGGACGTGGGGATGATGTTTCCACTAGTTTGAGAGACTAGGCCTGAGGGCACAGCCTCAGAGTGAAGGGATGACTCTTTAGAACTGAGATGAGGAGAAATTTCTTCAACCAGAGGCTGGTTAATATGTGGAACTCATTAGTGCAAAAGGCGCTGTGGAGGCCAAGTCATTGAGTGCATTCAAGACAGAAATGGATAGGTTTTTGTTTTGTAAGGGGATCAAGGGCTATGGGTAGAAGGTAGGAGAATGGAGTTGAGAAACACATCAGCCATGATCCAACAGCAGAGCAGACTTGATGGACCAAATAGCCTAATTCTGCTCCTATATCTTACCGGTTTTAAAAAGGAGAGAGGTAAAGAGACAAAGCAGGATCTTGTAGAGTAAGAACTAGGATTTTGATATTCACTCCATCTATGACCAGGAGGTGTTTAAAAAATAAAATACATGCCTGACTCTGACCTGCCTTGGTGGCAGACATCAAGATGTTCAGGGATAGGCGGGATGCTTAATCAACATGTAAATCGGGATTCCATAGTTCACCTGGGAGCCCAATTCAAAATGTACTTCCACTGCAACAGTTTCGCAACAGTCAAGAAACTAGCGAGTGAAACAAGGAACCTTCAGCTCCAGGATAAGTGACTCTTTCAGTAAAGTTGTGGGTCAGGAGGAGAAGTGCACACTCACCAAGCCACACAAGAGTCCGAAATTTTTCCAGCACTGAACTCCAGCTATTTCCTACCCAGCATTAATTGATGTCCTCTCTCCTCATCTGCAGCCATCCATCTCACACCCAAGCAAGGTCACTAGGCCAACCCTAATGATCCTGAACGGCAGCATCCGGTCATTGTGTTTCCTATCACTCACAGGGAGACTATTTGTGAAGCCAGCTGCTGTCCTGAAGGCAGACCCACAAGACGTTTGAAGCCTGCTGCACACAACTTTGTCGGACTTTTCCGCTGCTTATCTCACTTACGCCTTACTCAATTCCATATAAATATCTGGGTGTTTGAAGACTTCATAAAGCTGTGCAACGGGTAAAGGAGACACTACGTAGTGAAGAGAAGGTGAAATCTTCACTCATCAAGATGATCACGAACAGCAAGTGGTTTTAGCAGAGGCGAGTGAGGTCGGAGTCTTTGATGTAGACCATCAAAACAAGTTTGGATCAGACGTGCTCATATCTACACCCACTGACCTGAATGGTGGTGATGCATGGAGAAGGTGGGAATCATAATGGAAGCAGCTGAAATAGAGGCGTGCAAAGGTTTGAATAGGGACAAAGTAGAGATGAGGGAGTAGTTGAGTAGATTGGCAGCAGTAGTATCACCACCAGGATTGGAGACTAGAGACTAAACAATGAAGAATACGAAAACATAGTTCTAAAGTGACTCATAAGGCAGAAAGGATGTCTTCCAGGAACAAACAATACTTCAATAATGCAATGGTCATATTTGTTGGTCGAGAGAGATGGTAACATCTATTCGCTGGACCTTGTATTTAAGAATCACAGAACGCTTTTCAGAAAGTAGCTGGGGTTCTCTCCTTGTGCATCTTAACATTTCCCTCTTAATATTACCAAAACAGATTAACTGATCATTGTTTCATTTATTGTTTGTAGGTTCTTGCTATGCATACAATGCTTGGAACATCTGCTTCCATAACAAGTGATTGTACTGTAGAAGTAATACAATGGATGCGTAAGGACACCAATATAGGTTCTTCTGAGAATTGGCAGCTGTTGCTGGCTTGCCAGCCAAAGGTAAACAGGTTGTTTTCATCTATCAAAATGACATCTTTAAAAGTACTCAACTGTCCCCACAAATTAATCTTAGCATTTAGCCTTCTAGAACACTGCATTGTTAAAATGGCTTGATTAAATGTTATAAACAGAATTTCAGCAATGACAGAAACAAAGCACTACAGTTCATTCACACTTACCCATCTCGTCCTTTACTGACTATCTTCACCTCAAAGTAGTAAATCCCACAAGCAGCAGGTATAGGATACATTGCTCGAACTGAAGCCGCATCTTTTGGTGTTTTACCATGACCTGAAGGTACAAAATTTAGGTGAAAATTGAGCCTATAACATTTGCTTAAAATGGGAGATATAGAGAAATCTCATCATTCAGCACAAATTAAAACAATGGAAATCTATATGGAACGTTCAAGGGGATTGTGTTACAGGTACTTGTCCTTTAATTAGGCCAGAGGAAGTGAAGCATTAAATATGGAAAAATAAACTCGAATCAAGATCCAAAAAGCCACCTAGAAAAACAATTTAAATCCAATTTTCAAGTTTGAAATCAGCAGTTAGAAGCAGGGTAGCGTAGGAATTTCCATAGGGAGAAAATTAATGAATGCCCTGTGGCAAAAAGGCTAAGCAAAGGCAGATTCTAAGTTAACAACTGAAGTTTACTGCCTGTCTTCATTTATTATCTTTTGAATTATAATTTGAAATTACAGTTTCTAAAAATCTGTTAAGTATTATCTAGAAACTAACACAGCAAATGCTAGAGAAACTCAGCAGATCTGGCAGCATCTGTGAAGAGAAGAACAGAGTTACGACTAGTGAGACTCTTCTTCAGAACTGAAAGGAGTTGGAAAATAGGTTCTGTTTTATACTTCTGACAGAGGCAAAGGAGCAGCAACAAGGCAGATGGCCCAGTACGAAGGACACCAAACACATCTTATCTTTGCCTCCCCACTGCCATTAGCATTCTCTGAAAGTTTGCAAAGGGATATGTATAGTTTGAGTGGGCAAAGGTCTGGCAAATGGAGTACAATGTTGATAAATGTGAAGTTATCCATTTTCGTAGAAATAACATAAAAATAACTATTATTTGAACAGTAAAAAAATTGCAGCATGCTGTTGTATAGAGGGATCTGGGTGTCTTTGTGCACGAATCGCAGAAGGTTGGTTTGCAGGTGCAACAGATAATTAAGAAGGCATATGGAATTTTGTCCTTTATTGCTAGAGGAATTGAGTTTGAAAGCAGGGAGGTTGTGTTGCAATTGTATTGGGTGCTGGCGAGGCCACACCTGGAGTACTGGGTGCAGTTTTGGTCTCCGTACTTGAGAAAGGATTTAGTAGCGCTGGAGGGGGCACAGAGGAGATTCACTCGGTTGATCCTGGAATTGAGAGGGACCTATGGAGAAAAACTGAGCAGACTGGAACTATATTCATTGAAATTTAGAATGGAGGGGGGGGGGGCGGAGAAGGGGTGGGGAGGAGAGAAGGATCTTGTAGAAACATATAAAACAATGAAAGGGAATAGATAAGATAGAAGCAGGGAGGTTGCTTCCACTGCTGGGTGAAACCAGAACAAGAGGGCATAGTCTCAAAATTAGAGGGAGCAGATTTAGGACTTAATTGTGGAAGAACTTCTTCACCCAAAAGGGTTGAGAATGTGCGGAATTTCCTACCCAGTGAAGGAGCTGAGGCTCCTCACTGAATGTTTTCAAAGTTAAGATTGATAATTTTTTGAACAGTAAAGGAATGGAGGGTTACGGTGAGAGGGTGGGTAAGTGGAACTCAGGCCATGAAAAGATCAACCATGATGTTAACGAATGGCGGAGCAGGCTCAAGGGGCCAGTTGGCCTACTCCTGCTCCTGGTTTTTATGTTCTTTTATAACATTTGCCCATTCATCTCCTCCTTCCACACTGTCCAAGTCCCTAAAAACACACCTTCCTGGTGAAGCAGCATTTCACTTGTCCTTCTTTCAATTTAGTCTACTGCATTCACTGTTCACAATGCAGTCTCCTTTAGATTGGCCAGAGCAAGTGCTGACTGGTTTTGCAGTACACCACCATTTTGTCCATAGGAATGATCTTGAATCTCCCAGTTGTTTTCTATCTAATAAACTAATGAACTACCTGCTCTCTCACTAATATTTCTGTCCTGGGCTAATGCAATGTTCCAACGAAGGACAACACAAGCTCATGCAACAATACCTCATTTTCCACTTAGCTACAACCTTAAGGCCTCAATATTGAATTCAATAGTTTTAGGAACTGACCACATTATATCTGTTCTGTTTTTCTTCCATTCTCTCTCTCCACAACTCTGTTTGCATTTTGTTTAGTAGAAAGGGCCAATTCTCTTCCTTTCATACCTTATATTACACCTTTTGTAATTCTCTTATTTTCCTTTCTCCACTTTTAACAGCTGTTTTGTCTTTTGCACTGGGCCTCTATACTATCTGCCATCTTGCTCCTCCTTTGCCTGTCAAAAGTATAAAAACAAATCTATTTTCCAACACCTTTCAGTTCTTAGAGTCATACCAGACTGAAAACATGATCTGTTTCTATCTCCAGATGCTACCAGAGCAGTTGAGATTTTCCAGCATGTTCTTTGCAGCAGATTTCCAGCATCTTTTGCTTTTTTAAAAAGTTCTGAGCAATATCTTGTAGAAAAAAAGACAAATGGTAAACTTCAGATATATTATGACTACTTAACTATTTAACAAGTGTTGAGAAAGATAAATACCCATTACTGATATGAATAAAACAAATACTTCAAAATCAATACTGTTACTTCCCCAGCTGGACTATTTTAAACCCAACTACAAGTGGTCATGCAGACCAAAGACAACTAAAATCAATCAACTCCAAAAGTATCAAGATTGAATGAAATGTAGAATGAAATTGAAAAACAAAGATTTAAAAAGGTCATCCCACTTAAGGGTGCAGAACTATTTCTTAGCATCTTGCATTTGTTAATTTGAAAATCAATGTGTTGAGAATTTACAAACAAGTTCTTCGGTTTGTACTCAAGCCACAATATAAACCAGACATTATCCAGCTGCACAGGTCCTCTCAGATATATTATACTAACGAACAACCCCACTAAGCAACAGAAAAGATCTTGCACCTTTATAAATAAGGTCTAAACTCAAAACTGAAAATATTTTCACCTGGATAAATACCTATGCACACTGACCATTTTTATTCAGTACCAATAGTAAATGTTGTTGGCAGTTAATCTTTTAAAAAGATGTGCAAGCAATAGCTTAGGCATCTGTAAAAATAACATCAATACTATGTTAACTAGCTGAAAATGTATTTGGTGAAACAGAAACAAACAGCCAAAGACCAGAGAGCGTTCAAAGCTGGAATTCTCACTGAATGCTTCCCAATATCAGGCAATTTTCTACACAATGAGCAATTCTATACTATCTTGGTCCATTCAGGAAGCTTACATCTTGAAATTAGAAGGCCATACATGGATTCAGGTTCCACTATGATTGTGAGCATGTAATTTAGGTTCAAAGTTCAGGAAATACTGAAGGAATGCTGCCTTGTTGTAAATCTATGCAAGAGATCCACTTCTTCTACTGATATCATTGAAAGTTTTTAGCTGCCCCAGGTCCATATCTCTTCTATAACCATGCCCATAACATAAGTCAGATCATGTAACCATTCACTGAATTGCATTTTGTTTTTGGATCTGGCTATGCACAAATTGACGGTGCATTTGCTATGTTTTAAACCAATTTGAAACACCTTCAACAGTACATTGAGGACAGAAATTCCCCTTGAGCCTAGGTTATTCCATCTTCCATTTCAATACACCTACAACACTGGCATCTTTCTGACAGTGTGGTAAATTGCCCAGTTATGTTCTGTTCACAAAAAGCAGGATAAAATCTAACCCTGGCAATTACTGCCTTACCAGTCTCCTCTGATCATTAGTGAATCGGTGGAAGGGGTCATCAACCGTACTATGAAATAGCACTTGCTCAGCAATAACCTGCTCCGTGATGCCTAGTTTGAGTTCCACCAGGGCCACTCAACTCCTGACCAGATTACAGCCTTAGTTCAAACACAGCTAAGAGCTAAACAGCACAGGAAAGTTGAGAGAGTGACTGTCCTTGAAATCAAGGCCACATTTGACCAAGTGTGACATTAAGGAGCTCTAGCAAAACTAGAGTCAACAGGAATTAGGGAAAACTCTCCACTGATTGGAGTCATGCCTAGCATAAAGGAAGATGGTTGTGATTTTTGGAGGTCAGTCATGTCAGGAGTTCCTGACATGTATCATGCTCAGCCAAATTATCTGCAGTTGCTGCACAATTCACCTGCCTTATGGCATAGAAATCAGCAATGGTGATGTTCACTAATGATTACGGAATGCTCAAGACCATTTGCAACTCCCCAGAGACCAAAGAAGTCCATGTTCAAATGTAGCAGGATCCAGACAAGGGCTGACAAATGGAGTGTAATATTTGTGGCACACCACTGCCGGTCAATAGCTATCTCCAAACAAGAATATAACTACTGTCCCTCGACATTCAGTGGCATTTTTATCATTGAATTCCAACTATCATCATCTTGAAGGTTACTAATAACCAGAAACTGAACTGGACAAGCAATACCAGTACAGTGGCTAGAACAGCAGGTCAGAGGCTCAGAATCCTTCAACCATTAACTCATCTCCTGACTAACTACATCCCCCACCACCCCCCCCAACACAAACCAACCATCTATGAAGTATAGGTCAAGAATGTGATGGAATACTTCATACTTGCTTGGACAAGTGCAGCTCAAGCAACACACCAGAAATTTAACACCATTCAAGACAACACTGCCCGCTTGATTGGCACCACATTCACAAACAGGAAAAAGTGAACTTGGGACCATAATCAGATTAGTCATTACCTTACTGAATGATGGAACAGGCCTGAAGGGTAAAATAGTCTACTCCTACGTTCAGAGATAGTAGGAAGTGCAGATGCTGGAGAATCTGAGATAACAAGGTGTAGAGCTGGATGAACACAGCAGGCCAAGCAGCATCAGAGGAGTAGGAAAGCTGACATTTTGGGTCTGGACCCTTCTTCAGAAATGGGGGAAGGGAAGGGGATTCTGAAATAAATAGAGAGGGGGAAAGGCGGATGGAAAATGGATAAAAGGAGCAGATAGGTGGAGAGGAGACAGACAGGTCAAATGGGCGGGGATGGAGCCAGTAAAGATGAGTGTAGGTGGGGAGTTAGGATGGAGATAGGTCAATCCAGGGAGGACGGACAGGTCAAGGAGGCAGGATGAGGCTG